TATATGTATATGTATAGACAAATTGAACTCCTTCAAAATTATATTATTATATATGTTGCAGGCAACGCTTTTAAACATGATGAGGACTTTTCAATATAGTCCAAAGGTAGATGTAAGGACGGTATTTTATCTGTTTTTTTTTTTTGTTTGTTTGTTTGTTTTTTGTTATACAAGAAAATATCTATAGATGTTAAACAAACTGATAAATTAGAGTTACTTCGGACAATGCCTTTCTCACCTTACTGACTCACTTCCGTTTGAGCATTTAGTTGACGCATAACAGCAGACAGAGACAAAGCTCGTGTGTGGATAAAGACGCAAATGGAGCCATGATGGGGGCTGAATAACAAGTTAATATCATAACTGAAACCGACACAAGCTGATATCCAAACGGCAGGTGATGAGTTTTATATCCCTGTGACCCCATAGCCTAATTCCCCACAAGTACACCGTAGAGTTTTACGATTCAGCTCACCTTTCTGTAATGAGAAAAGGGTTCTGAATAAGCACATCACACCCAGCCCCAACCCCGAGCCCAAGCTACGTGACCTAAATTTAATTCGCCGTTTGCCTATCAGCAGCGGCCACACGGCGTCTACTGAGCGCTAGGACACGTCGGTTTTAGTCACATTTGAGCTATTTTGCGTGGCTCGTGTTTGCACAAGCAGCTCCTGACCTACATTCGCTGTGTCCCAGCCAATCTCCGGCGATACTTTGGCTTCTGGCAAACACAATCTCCACAAAGAAAGGAAACGTGACGGGGAGGAGGGGGCAGCAGGGGGAGCGGGAAGGGGGGCGGCGGGAGTCACGGTGAGCGCCGCCCTTCAAGCACGTGCCGGCGCTTCTCCAGCGAAGATCGTCTATCGCGCGAAGACCACCACCGCTCGACTGAGAACACGCGGCGCTGTTCTATGGGTAGAAAACGTGCTCTCAGCTCGAGCAGCTTTGACTACACTTAAAAGCACGTGGACTAAAGCTGAATATTGGTTTGGGGTTTTTTCTATTATTATTATTTTATTTCTCACCTAATATTTATATTTTAATCTGTTGCAACATGCGGCTGCATTTATAAGCAATTAATACAGCTACATATATAAAAACGTTATTTAGCAGAGCTATTTCTTATATTTTGTAAATTTTGTAATATATTGTATTATTTACTTATTTCAGTCTCTTACTGTTATTGTCTTGGAGCAACTGTAACCCACAGAATTTTCTTAGGGATTATAAATGTATTCTGATTCTGAAACTAACACGGGCATTAAAGCCACTCAAACGTGTACAAGGTGATAACAGTGATTTAGTTAATTCTGAGTGGCCATGTTCTGTAATAATGAGTTGCTGTGTTTGTTGCAGAATTATATTTGATTTTTTTTTCTCAGTTGCTTAGATTGTGTTTATTTTAACTTAGCTGCTCGACGAGTGAGGTGGGCTGCTAAAGCAGAGAATTACAGGCTCTTGGTGATCTAAGAAGATGCTCTCGATATGAATTTCATGCAAATCAAAAATAATGACAGGTTCATTAATTATCTTAAATGTTACTGACCAAAACAACAACAAATGAGGATCCCTTTAAAGTAATGTAAAAACTAAGTAATAGTGTTAGATAAATACAAGCATTAACAAATGCACATTTGCTTCTCCTTTCCATTAAAACTTAAAGTTGTTACCCCAATATTCTATTCTATTTACATTGCATACAGGTGCTGCTGATCCACTTCTACACTGCAGTCATTGAATCTGTCTTGTGCATCTCAATCAGGGTCTTATTCAGTGCAGCCAAAAAACAGTGTAGAAATATACAAAGAAAAAATTACAACTACAGCTAACAGGAAGGAAGTGTGAGCTGCTCCCTTCTCTTCATCCTTTAGGACTTGTACTCAAAAAACCAGGAAGTGGGCAGTGAGCATCATCACATATCCTTCACTTCACACCCTGGAAACAAGCTTTTAAAACTCCTCCACTCCAGCTGGCACTACGGATCTCCCATACCACGGCAACCAAACACAGAAACAGCCTGTTTCCCACTACCACCATCCTTATCAACAGCTTACATTTATTCTTCGTTATTCCAAGACGGTTATTGCATTCTGCTTCAAATCCACAATTACTGGATTTTACCCATGCTCAACATCACAGCCAACTCCATGCACATTATGCTGTTTCACTAGCTTATTACACTGCACTTCATATAAATTGGTTGTTATATCTGATCTGTGTGAGGTTTGTGTTAACCCTGCTGTACACTGTAATAAGTTTGTTTGTATACATTATGTAATATAATATCCAGTCTGTAATAGATCGTCTTATATGTATATAATCTACCTGCCAGTATTTTCTTTGTGCACATTGATAGCACCGTATAATATGGCCCATGTGTAAGGGTGTAATTTCACTACAATTATATAATTTCAGTGTATTTCACCAGAAATTGCAATGTAACTATATTAACCCAAAAATTCTTAAGTAAAAATACTTACAGTATATTTTGTCTAGTTTTTATGTAAAATACTTGAAGTTACACCCTACTTAAAATTGCTTGCAGTATGAATTTGAATTGCTATTCCCCTTGTCTACCTGTAAGTAAAATTAGGCATGCACTTCTTAACATTACTTACAATATAATTACTTATTCTTTCCTGTAAAATACCTAAAAGTTACACCCTACTTCAAATAGCTTGCAGTATAATTACTTTGTCTTTCTTTCCTTTAAAAGTTACTTGGATACTTAATGAACTGTCAGCCCTTGTTCTAATGTATAGACCTGTAAAGTAAAATTACTTGTGCACTACTTAAACTTGCATTATATATACGCCTGGTTTCTTGTAAAATACCTGAAAATTCCATACTACGTAACACTGCGTACAGTATACATACTTCTTTCCTGTAAAATACGTGAAGTTACACCCTTGTTTTAGTGGATCTTCTTGTAAGTATTAGTGGCTAAATATAACTGTATCGTAATTTCAAGACTGAGAATCCGTTTAATTCTCAAAGAATTACACAGTGACATCTTAATTTTCTACACTGCACCACCAAATCCCGGAACCAAATCCTTGTATGTGCGGCAACCTCGGCGAAAACAAATTTGAGTCTCATCCTGAGGTCTGAAGACGATGCCCGAGTGAGACCTCTTTTCCTCTTTCGCAGTCTCTTCCTCGCTTCACCCTCTTATCGCCGAGCCCAGGCAGCTCATTAGCATAAAATGTGTGTCAGTAGGGCAGCGCGAGCTCACATGCAACGCGCACATGCTGCAGAGCTTTAACCAGCATTCCAGTGTCGAACGAGCCCGATGTGCCGTCTCCACGCGGGGCTCTCGGCCAATGAGAAAGTGAGAAAGAGTAAAGAAGAGTGGGGGGTGTGGAGGGAGGAGTGGGGGTGAAATGTTGTCAGAGAGCGTGACACAGAGAGGGAGGAAGAGAAGAGAGAGAGAGAGAGAGAGACATCCCTGATGCACACCAACAAACAGGAGGGACACACAAAAGGAGAGCAGGGAGGGAAGAAAAAAAATGGTCACATTTCTCAAGCACCTGAAAACGTGCTGGTTATTTTCGGACGCGTGTTGCTTATTGATGAGTGTGGGAGTGTTTAAACTACTTCCACTGTGATCATGTTTTCACGGTGACTGTACATGGCAAGCAGCTGAACGCGTTGGGACCACTGTAATTCAGAGAACACCCTTTTACACAGAGATCCATCTGACATCACTGTGTACAGACAGACAGTCGAGCTTCCCCGTGCGTCTGTTCACCTCGGGAGAACATCGGGATCAATAAGAGACCTGATCTGAATTGCTTTTAAATAGTTTCTTTATTACTTTTATTATTATTTCCTCTTCTTTTTGGGGGCTGGCCGGGTTTTCTCAGGAACCCCAATGCCCTGTGCACGCTGCTTTTGGTCTGAGCTTTGGGATACACTCTACATGCCCTGGCAGTTCATGACTCTTTCACCTGTATCAACAAAACTCCTCGGTGACAAGAAGCGGCAGTCAGTTCAGCAGTAAACGCCTACTGTAATACGGAACAAACGAACAACACCGATCGACTGGGAAACATGGAAAACAGTCCTGGTGGTAAGTAAGCTTTAAATTGTGTGGTCGGTGCTGAAAGCTGCTGGCAAGCAGCGCTGTCAGGTTTACTTTGAGGGTAATGGTGCAGGTGAGCACAGATGCCAGTGAGCTGCATTAGATCAAATATTGCTAATATTTAAGTAATATATAAAGTTTTACTGCCATTTAATTATTATAATTTTTATTTTTTTTAATTGTCTGTTTGAGTCATGTCAGATCACTGCAGTTATTGGACATGTCTGATGCTTTGGGATTTGTATCCAGTTTAATTGCATCTTATGCTCCTTCTATATGAATGTGTGATATCCAGAAAACTATTTAAGCTATAGGCAGTTGGAGTTTCTGTGCACTGTACTCTCGCCTATGACTGTAATTCAGCTGTGCAATCTCTGGCGTGTTGCCAGGTGCTTCTGGGCTGCGCAAGTCTGAGGATTTTGAGTGAGTGAGCTGAGCTCGGAGAGGGAAGTCCTCTCCTCCAGTCTTTGCGGCGGACTTCCGATTCTCTGCATGTAAACAAACTCACGTGAAGCGCGACCCTGAACGCCCCTTGACCGGGCACGTTGTCATCCCACAGCCTTGCCCACGTTTGGTCGCCCCACCATTAGAGGCTTATCTGCAGACAGATAAGGAACAATAACGTGCTGACCCACCCGCGTTGCGTCCGCGTTTTTTTGGATCTTAAAGTTCTTGCTCCCAAAACCACTTCTGGGTGTTTTCACCCAATGGAAGGTTGTCAACTAACAAACATGTGATTCATTAGAAGTTTGCTGGTCACAATCGTGGCACTTTCCCCCAAACACAAGTGAGGAGGCGATGTCAGCGAGGAGTCACGCCCACTGCTCCACAAACATGAAATCTGTGCCAAATTCTCCTTCCACACAGCCTCCAAGAGCCGCGCTTGGAGTAAACATGTAGTTCTGCCAGCCCCTGAATCTCGATCTAAATGTAGCGAGAGCTGATGATGAATGAACAGATCATATCTGACTCATGAAATCGATAAGAGTTAAACCGCCTCCTATTTAGTCCGTGGCTCACTGGCTGAGAGCGCCATTGTTATAGGCGAACAGATAGATAAAAAGCAATAAAGCAGTGACGCTCTATTGATATAACGCTTTAAACCATTACAGCAACTTCACGCTGCACCCAGATCTCACAATATAATTTAAATCTAAACATCACGGGTATAGGTCCTTAGTCGACTGTGGCCATGGCCGTGCACCCTGGGTAAAAAACAACACACAAAAAAACCCGTTCGTGATGTTGCGAATCATGCACCTGATTTTTAATACGCAGCCACCCCGCCTCGAGCTGACAGCACGTGTACACAGCCTCAGTATCCACGTGCCGCGCATGATTCCAAGTACACTGCCCCTCTCACGGTTGTTCCTCTCTGTCGCGCGCACTGTGCGCGCGCTCAGCTCACACGGGGATTCCTCTTTATTCGTTGGTAGATTGGTCAGTGGGTCAGAGGGGTTTAACCAGCCTTCTGTCTCATATTAGTTACTATAGCTGATTTGAAATGTTCATAAGTAATTAAAAGGAGCGTCCTTTTTTGGGGGGTAGCCTATCACAGGACGTGGGATGTGAAAGAACATATTAACCTACATTTGCCAGCATCAACTAGTTTTTTGGGTGACAAGGCCAAGCCGTTTCAATTACACTCTGGTATTTCTATTTGGGCGGTGTAATGTAACAAAATAAGACGATAAATACCAGACTGAAGTAATTATCATAGGGGCACTGAGCAGTTGTCACATGAACTAAGGCTAACTTTTACAATGTTGTCAATGAAATGATAAAAAGGTCACTTCAACATGGACTGTTGATTGTTTTTCTTTTCATTCAGAATAAGTAAAGTTGTTTAGATTGGTGCTTTGATGGGATGTTGTTGGTAATAACAGCACATAAACCCTTTCTGCAATAGAAAGGCCAAAGCATGTGAAAGGTTATTTATTTCTAAGGGTTACAGTTAAATCAGATGACACAACAAAACCTGTTCTGACTTCCTTTCACATTGTTTCAATATTATATGGATATTTATTTTAAAGCTGTCTATCAATAGTACCTAGTCAACCTTTCTGGATGATTTTCAGTCCATCCATCCATTTTCTTCCGCTTATCCAATTCAGGGTCATGGTTGGGTTGGAGCCTATCCCACCTGTCACACGGAGGGAGGTGAGAGGTGGGGTGCAGCCTGCACAGGTTGCCATTCTATAGTAATTCTAACACTCAGAGACAGATAACCATTCATGCTCACAAAATCAGTAAACCTAGACTCTCCAGTTAACCTCACGTACATGTCTTTGCATGGTGGGAGGGAGCTGCAGCACATGTGAGAACCCAAGCAGGCAAGAGGTGAAAATGCAAACTCCAAACAGAAAGGCCACAGCTGGCCGGTGGATTCAGACCCAGGGCCTTCTTGCTGTGAGGCAACCATGGCACCACCATGCTGCCCATATTCAGTTTCACAGCAGTCAAATGGAAGATGAGTACTTTAATAAGTGTTCATCGTGTAATTGGGATATAATGTCATGGTATCAACCCGCTTCAGGGTGCCGTGACGTGTTCAACCTCACTCCTTTCAACTGAAAAAGTACCAGAAAGATTGTGGGTGCAGTAGTTGAATGACTAAGCTAATCAGTAGCAGTAATAATCTGCAATAGGAATGGTTAAAGGTATGACTCTGTGATGAGAATGAATGCAGAGAAACACTGCAGCTGTTCATGACCAGCTCTCATGAACCCTGTAGTCTTCATGGAGTTTTGCTCTCCTTGATCTCAAAGCGTGATTATTGACCAACTTACAAAAAAATGCAACATGTTTAAGCAGATGAATGCATATGTTGGGCACTAGCAGGAAAATGAAACCAGATTCATTGTGTTAGATTAAAAAAAAAAAAAAACAACCCCACAAAGATTTCACATTTCACATTAAAAGCCTCTGAGAATAAATGCTTTTTTCTAGGCTACATTTGCATTGCTCAGCCCCGAGGATCTACATGTAATCCTTTGAACTTGAGAACTTCTTAAACAAAGTTCAAATTGGGTCAGCCTCTTCCATTATGTTAAAAAAAATCTTCTCAAGTGTTTCTAATGTGAAAAAAAACCTGCCCGCTGTTCCTTCTAAGAACTATCCTCCATGACAAACGTTTCATAAATGAGCATATGACACGAAGCCAGTAGTTGCACGTGGAGGGAGGCTTACTGCCCATGCACAGAGGTAAACGTTCACATGACAGAGGACAGTCAAGTTGCAGATGGAGCATGATTTCCACATTTCCTACGGGCGTCCGTGCATGCCCAGGGGGAGGGAACACACGAGATGGGAAGTCAGAGAGGACTGGCAAAAAAAAAAGAAAGAAAAAAAAAAAGAGGAGGCGGTTGTATTGTTTATTCCGTAGTTCTTGTGGCTCTATGTGTATCCGCAAGTCACATGTTGTAACCTGTGCCTGAGCACAGCGGGGGTGACATTCCCAGAGCTCATTCCATAGCCCAGTCAAGCCATATTCCAGGAAATCGTTACAAGCATTCAGAATATGGAATGTTTTTCTACTCGACGAGCCGGGCGGGGTTGTGACTTCTGAGCGTAGAAAGTGGGTGTGGAAGAGCCAGTGTGTCTGCAGCGTGTCACCCTGCCCTCCGCAGGTGAGCCACATGCCCAGAAAACTACCTCTCTCACACATCATGCAGAAAAACTTAACAAGCAACATTTGTGTGCGCAGGGAAGTAACCGCCTGCCCAGAGCTGCCACCCCACACACACATATACACATACCCTGTTGGAGCAGTCAGTGTTGACACGTGTAAGCGGTGGAATTAAGGAGGCACTTAGAGCTAAACAGCAATCCAGCACGTGTTTTCTCAAGAAGAGAAAGCAAAAGAGACAGGGCACACTTTTCTCAAATGATTCCAGGTCCTTGAGAGGAAATGTGCACAGAATTACAGAGCAGGCGTTCTAATTATATTTACACCGCTTTGGATAACGCTGCCACACACAGAGCAGGCATTTTTGACTTTGACTACATTAACCTGTTGGGTGGTATATTCACAGACCCGATACATTACAAGTAGCTTGATACTGACCCACAAGGTATGATCGCAATCATAATGTGAGAATATCTGATGCAGTTTCTGGGTGAAGAATTGTGCGTGCAGGAAATGTTACAGTTGGCAGGTCTTCTCGGATACTTGACACAGTGATCTGATAAAAAATGAACAAGTGGTTCAAACTGTGAGCTAAATACAGGGGGGGGGGGTGTACCAAAGTAAGCGTAAATCCAGAAATTCTTTAAATTATTTGAAGAGATAATCACTCACTTATATTACCATAAATTAAAACAATTACGGTAGCTTTAAAGGTAGGGAAGATTGCTTGGTGGGTTTTTCCTCCCTCTAGCCTGATTCATCTGAACACACGCACACAAAAAGCACAATGTCAGCCTTTGAAATTGTGTTAAAGTGTGACCGGCAACAACGTGACTGTTGCCCTCTGCGCAGTTTCTAGTGACTCAGTGGAATTCATTAACTTGTTCCGTTCCGTATCTCTAGCCACAGCATTAAAAGCCTTCTCCACTCCAAACGTGATCTGCCCTAGCGCTTGTTATGGCACTGCTGCTGTTGTTGTCTACACGGGACTGCGCAAAGAGCCTTGTGAGCCAGGCGGGAACTGTGTCAAGAGTCCATGTGAGCTCCTGGTCAGGTGGCTGGCGGATAGATGGGTCTGCAGGCCCGGAGCCGGAAAGGGGAGGGAGGAAGGGAGGAGGATAAGAGAAAAAGGGAGGGGGGAAAGGCGGAGGGAGCGTAGAAAGGACTCAGTTCTGAAAGCAAGCATGCAGGGAGCTGGCTGGCTCAGCCTGCACGTGAGGGGCAGTCTTTCATCTTGCGGGGAGGAACACTGTCTGCAAAAGAAAGGGCGGGGGTGGCGGTGGTGACGGAGGGGTTTGGGTGTTGTGTTTAGAGGTAATAGGGCATTTCCAACTTAATCTGATATCCCTAAACAAAGGCCTGTTTGTGAACTCTCTGTGGCTCTCATTGTGAAAATACAGTGACTTACTGTCATAATATGATATGATATGATGTATTAAATGGTGTTCCCTATTCCAGAAGGTTTGGTGTGTGTGATGTGATATATCATAGGCTATTTTATTCATAGTTTATGACAGTTTATGACAGTTGAGAGATGAAGATCTTTAACTAGATTGCATGCTGTGTCTATTTCAGTTACTACCTCTCCTAGTTTTCCATTACTCATCAGAAGGTATGATTTGGCATGACTTGGGCATTTTTTCCCTTATCTCATTCTTATCAGATTAAAAACTGAAAAGACTGCACAAAAATATCCAGGTCAGAGTTGTTGTTCCTCAAGCTGTCACTTTTCTTTCTTTCTTTCTTTATTTTTTCTTCTCTTTTCTAAATTGTTCATCGGATCAAATTTCTGTTGTCCCAACAAGGTCAGGGTTTTGTGTCTGTGTTTGCAAAAGTCTGCCAAGTAAGCTCAGATGAAAGCAGATGATTGCTCAACACTTCAACTCTCTACTAGTTTGTGCCTGTGCACTGAGTTTTGGACCCCCTGTGCTCTTTCAGGTGGTGTTATCTTGTACGCTGGCTCGTCTGGAAGTGCCAGTCCGAGTCCTGGCAGCCCGTCAAGTGGATACCAGACCCAGTCGCCCTCCTCCCACTCACAGCCTTCATCCCCGGAGGGTGTCTCCTTTCAGGAGATCGGAGCCCTGAAGCAAAGAGGGGAGCCAGGGGGAGGAACACCTTCCCCGAAAATGGTCTTTCAGTTTCCCGAAGTTAACAGTGCTCCAGCTGCGCAAATTACGACGGTGTCATCACCGACCTACAACCATCCCACCGTTGCCAAAAGGCCTTGTGGCTTCACTGGCACGTTCACCAGTAAGTACCCGCTCGCCACCCTCCTCCCTGTTCTCCTCTTTCCTTGGCCATCAGCAGTTTTTCATTGTGTTTCTTCACCTGACAACCGTTGTGACTTCCTCTTTCACAGAAACCGGAGGTATGGTGCTTCTGTGTAAGGTGTGTGGGGACATCGCATCTGGGTTCCATTATGGCGTGCATGCCTGCGAGGGCTGCAAGGTGAGACCAAAGAAAGGTTATATTATGTCACGTCTTTCCTTTTCATTGTGTACAAAAAAACACAATGACACAAAAGACACCCTTCACAGCCTCTATTCTTCCTACCCTCCTTCTGCAGGGTTTCTTCAGGCGCAGCATTCAGCAGAATATCCACTACAAGATGTGTGTGAAGAATGAAAACTGTCTCATCATGCGCATGAACCGTAACCGGTGCCAGCACTGTCGCTTCAAGAAGTGTCTCTCCGTGGGCATGTCCAGAGATGGTGAGAGATCATGTCATTGCATGAAGATATTTAGACATAAGTAAATTCTGATGGATTTATTCCCACCAGTATTTTACACTGGCTTAAACAGTGAATCATTTTAATCCGCTTTGTACAAGATGCGAAAACAAAGTCCAAATTCATTTCTGTCACAGCTTACAACAAAGGCATAATCCCACTGTCAAAGCCACTTGCCTTACTCCTCATCCAAAAAGTTGAAAATTCTACTTATCTCCTTTCCACTATTTCCTCCTCTTGTCTTTGTCCTCCTCTGCCTCCCTTTCTCCTCGCGCTGCTCTCTGATTAATGGCAAGAGGAGCTGGAGAGTCCCAGTAGTCATCAGTCATGTAGAAACTGTGAAAAATACTAGTTTATTTTAGGAAACTGGGGCACAAAGTTGTTGATTACCCTTCCCGTTCGCAGTCACGTACACCCTTTCCCGACACGGGCATTTCAAATCATTTGAGATTTAATGTTATTCTGTCCAGTTAATCACAAAAACATACACTGCTTAAATTTGAATATTAAACATGATTGCAGGTAATCAGCTTGTGTGTGTTATTTTCACCTTCAGGAGTTAAATCTCCAGGGGAAGATGGCTAAACTAGGTGATAATAAATCACGTTTTTTTTTTTCTTTCTGGTGCAAACATTTTTAGCTGACCCCCCCGAAAAAAGCCAGAAGCGAGAAATCAACTGCTAATTCATCAGATTTGAGACATTTATATTATGTGTTCATGGGAAAAGTAGTTCCACCCACTTTCTGGTTTTCGGCTGATGTCTGCGACTCGCCAGCATGAAATTGATTTTTGATCAGCCGCCTTCGACCCTTTGTCTTTTCGGCTCTCTCACCTGCCTTTCCGTACCTCTGACCTTTCCACTCATCACCCACTGTGTCACTCTGCTAATGACACCACATTTGGTGGTATTGACCCAGTGACCTACTTCTAGAGGAAAAAAAGAGAGAGCCTGCGCTTCACTGAAAGGCAGAAAGAGAACGACTCGTGGGGGAGGAGGAGGTGGTGTAGCATACAGTGTACTATAAATAGGACTGTCAGTGGAGGTAGGGCATCGAGGTGGGGGGAAGGGAGGAATGTAAAGGCTGAAGAGGAGGTTGAAAAGATGGAGGCTTCCGGGTCTGTAGTATGGTGTAACAGCTGTGATGGAGAAAGAATAGTCAGAGACAGATAAGAGATCTTGGGATTAGTAATACATCTAGATTAGAGTTTGAGAGTCACATGTAGGATATTTGTTTGAATGTGAACATTTTACGCATAGTGTGCTATGTCAGTGTCAGTGCTGTAAGATGCTAACAGAGATGCTCATTTCTGTCTGCTTTTGTCCTCAGCTGTGCGTTTTGGGCGTATTCCCAAGCGGGAGAAGCAGAGGCTTTTGGATGAGATGCAGAGCTACATGAACAGTCTCAATGAATCGGCTTCCATGGAAATGGAGGTGTCACCTCCTCCCGACGCGCCGTGCAGTCCACAGAACCAGACGAGTGAAGGAGCCGGCTCCATAATGCAGTCTTACCACGGTAATGAGAAACCACTCAAGATGGCTGCTGGCAACAGCAACCTTGGCGCTTCCTCTTTCCAGAACAGCGCGGCGCAGGAGCCTGCCCTGTTGCACGCGACTGCCCAGACGCAGCACGCAGTTCAGGTGGAGCAGGCGAACCTGACAGCTAACTACCACGTCCCCCCAAACTTCCCCGTCCCACCTACCGGCAGCGAAGGCACCACCAACGCAAACGTCGACAACGCCAAGTACACGTTCTCCTCCAATCAGAACCAGTGTCCTGTCAGCGGTAACATGTTGTCTCAGGGCTACGCAGCCAATCAAAACAGTTTCCCAGCCAGAGAGTCCTCAAACCAAAACCAGTGTCCCTGGAAGCTGAACGGAGGAGCCAAGGTTCTGGTGAGTCTCCCTCTCCTTTTGACTCTATGAAAGCCTTTTTAAATTCCAGTCAATAAAAAGCCCATAATGCTTCTCTTTCTCTGTCTTCTGCAGGCATGCCCACTCAATTCATGTCCTGTGGCTCCGGCCAGTCGCTCCAGTCAGGAGGTGTGGGAGTCTTTCTCCCAGTGCTTCACCCCTGCTGTTAAAGAAGTGGTGGAGTTTGCAAAGAGCATCCCAGGCTTCCAGACTCTCAGCCAGCATGATCAGGTCATGCTGCTCAAATCTGGTACTTTCCAGGTATGCCTCTTTGAATACGATTTGTGTCTTTGGGGCTTTTCCTTTTACGTTTCTTTTTCCCTCGATGCTGAACTGCTCTTGTTTTGCTGACAGGTTCTTATGGTGAGGTTCTGCTCACTGTTTGACCCCAAAGAGAGGACGGTGACCTTCCTCAATGGACAGACATACTCACTGGCATCCTTGAGAGCCCTTGGTATGGGCTCATTATTGGATTCCATGTTTGATTTCAGTGAGAAGCTAGGATCTTTGGGTCTGGAACCAGATGAGATGGCACTTTTTATGGCTGTCGTGCTCGTATCTGCTGGTAAGAGTCACGCAGCTATGTGCATACAAGCTCATACTTCTCACACAAACACATGTCTAATTCTACTTTGTTTGCTCCTTTTTTCTTTTTTTAGATCGCTCTGGTATAGTGGAGGTTGGCGCAGTAGAGCAATTGCAGGAGAATCTAATAAAAGCTCTGCGTTCACTCATCACCAGTCGCCGCCCGGACGACAGCACGCTCTTCCCAAAGTTGCTGCTTCGTCTGCCGGACCTGCGCACCCTGAATAACCAACACTCTGACAAGCTTTTAGCTTTCCGCATAGACCCTTGAGTTCAGACAGCTTAATGGGGTAACTGCCTTTGGGAACCGCCTTACTCCATATGCAGGCCTGGGTGGCTACTTTCCCTACACTGGCCGCTGCATGATGGACGGCAATTTTGACAGATCTCCCAGGTCTGATGTTCCAAGAGAGCCGGGGAAATATGAGCAAAGAACGCAGGCAGAGCAGAAGGTGGTGGAAGCTGATGAACATAAACCGATCTGTGCTCCAGTTGCTTCCAATTGGACTGCTAGAAAACTGTTAAAACTGTAGAGTTCTTCCTTGAGTTTTTCAAGACAAAATCAAACCACCGTCGCTTCTCCCTCTTGGAGTTTGTTTTTGATGTAAAGACCAAAAAAAGAAGGGCGAGCCCGTTGATCCTCACCAGACCTTTGTTTTGTTATCTCACAAAGCTAACGGAAAGGAAGCACATACTTTTTTGCCCAGAAGAAAAAAAAAAGGACAGACATTCACCAATAATGATCTCTTACTGTAAATTCCTGCCACAAATGTAAAGGCACTTTTCATACATTGAGAAACCTCTGAAATCAATAAATATATATATATATATATATATATATATATATATATATATATATAGCAATAGAAATGTTTAACACAGTTTGTGTTTGCCCTGTTGAAATGACATAAGCTATTTTCACATCATGTTATCATGTGAGGAATCTTTATAGAAAAAAAATCACCCATTTGTGATTGAGAGATGTATACCATTTTTACGAAAATGAGACTGAGGTGCAATGTATTTGTACACGGTGATCAGGGAGAAATTATTGGTCATTTTAGACCATGTCTGATGGCTTATATGATAAGATGTTCTGTTGTAAATTTTGTACAGGGGCGTTATTCTCGGTTTGTACCGGCGTTTGTTTGCAGATTCTTGGATATGTAAATGAAATTAGTATGGAGATTATTGTATGATGTCACACATGATTGATTTCTCTACAGGACGCAGCATCTGAACGATGTGCTCCGAGTATAAACTTTTTATTTGAATATATAGCGTTGAAATAAATGTATTGTCAACGGACAGCATCGGCCTGTGAATATTTTGTAAATGTTTTATGGTTACACCATAGATTACCATTATTAAATAATGTTATATAGCATCTTCTCCTTGTTCTCATCTCTTTTCATTTTCTTCCTTAATGCGATGCAGAGACATACCATACAGCCGTAGCCTAGCAACAGATGCAATGAGCCAATCGTGCTTCAGGTCTGAGAGCCACTGGGGGCTTTTATAATAACAAGAAACACCACTTGATTTTTGAGTGTGTGTGATAACAAGTGAATGTAATTCCAAAGACTTATGGGAATACTAGGTGTTGTTCTTCGCTGAGAGAACACAGCGACCTTTTGTAGAGACGAGATGATAAGCAAACTGAAAGAGATTAAGTGGATTCTGGTGAAGGATGAATGCAAATGTAGGACTAACAAGGCAGTTGGATCAAAACGTTCTTCATGAGTAAAGTCTTGTTACCAGACACGAGGCAAAGCCCTGGAGAAATCATTGATATAAACATTTAGGAGCAAGTTGCATAAACTGCAGCTCTGCCTTTAATAAGGCTCCATAATGTGCTCAGTCACTGGCATTGCTTGTTTTAAAAGGAAATGATTTAGACAAGTGCGTCACACCCAGAATCATGCATCACAATAGCACAGCTTCAATTATACTTCTAGGTCTGACAGGCTTTTGACTGACTCGTGTATTTTCGAAACAAACATACTAAAGAAGCTGTGACTGCTCATAAGAATATAGCAGTCACAGATCCAACAGTATTAGGTGAAAAAAATTAGCAATAGTACACATTTTCCTTGGTGCCAAAAAATGAAAAATTAGTACGAACCAGAAGGTGACATCTATTTATCTACGAACGCACCTGCACTTTTACTGTCATTGATCCATCTGAAAGAAATACTGGAAGTCTGCAACGGGGAGAGCCTATAGTCCCTAGGGGTGCTTTGTTCCAGTCATGCCCATAAATCATGTTGGTCTACGCCTGCCGCCTACTGGACAGCACGGTAACGGCAGGAGCACGTTTTAGCCTCCCACTAGATGTGTTACAAGTTGTAACACATCTGTCATATGATAATCGTACAAAAATACTGAATGGGCTACAAGACCATCACCAAAAAGCTTGGTGAGAAGGTGACAACTGTTGGTGTGGTTATTTGGAAATGGAAGAAATATAAATTCCCCCTTCAATCCCCCTCAGTCTGAAGCTCCATTAAAGATCTTGCCTCATGGGGTGAGGATGATCAAGAGAAAAGTGGTGCATCAGCCCAAAGGAGGAACGAGGACCTTGCTAAAAATCGGAAAGCAGTTGGGACTACAGTCACCAAGAATACCATTTGTAACACTACATTTTAATGCATTCATATCCTGCAGCGTCCGCCAGGTCCCCTCAAGAAGTACGGATCCGTCTTCAGAAAATATAGTGGTCAGATGAAACCAAAATCAAGCTCAACACCATCCCCACAGTCAAGCATGAAGGTGGAAACATTATGCTTTGGGACTGTTTTTCTGCTAAGGGTACAGGATGACTTCACTGCATTATGGAGTCAATAGACTTTAAAATCTTGGACAAGAACTTCCCTCCTTCAGCCAGAACATTGAACATGGGTCATGATGAGTCTTTACAGTTACAGCCAAGGCAACAAAGTCTCAAAAGAAGAAGACGAAGGATAAGAAGTGGCCTAGCTGATCTCCAGACCTCTGGAGGTCAGTCTGTTATAACGCTGGACACTGGGGATAGCTCAGGATGATTCTCATTAGGCTAATGTAACTGCTTTATATAAGAATAACCAGCGTGTTCACAGCCATAGCTAGCAGCATAGCCACAATAAGTCATAGCTACCAGATTACCCATAGGCAAAGCAAAATGACTGTCCTAGAAACAACAGTTTAGGGGGGGAAACAGTTAAGGGAAAAAAGTTTTACCTTTGGTAAATCATCTGCAAGGTTTTGCTCACATAATCTTCTCCCCAAGGCTGAAAGTGCTCCTCCATCATACTTTCATTTTTACCAAGCAGATTAATCAAATTGAAAGTGGGCTGTTGTTTTCCTTTCCTTTTTCACTTTGTTATTATGTAACAGAATTAAAGGGCCCCCAGAAACCCTTCCACCTACAACTTCAAAAAATTATGACTTTAGTCTGCTGATAAAATCGGTGCTTCCTAATCATACTTAGTAAACCCTGCGGAAAAAACGTATTTTCGTTTTACTTCCTTACTGTCAATTTCAATTTACAAACATCTCTGCAAGCAGTAATCACAGCCGAGATTTTCTTGTAAATGTTCCCAGTTGTTTCAGTAATAGCAAATCATGCAAGGCCAACAACATTAGAAGTCTGGAGGTTTGAGCCTAGACTAGACTACATAACGTCCTCTCACATCACGACTTGAAACAAACGGAACATACTGTCTTACCCCTCTCTCTTTCTGGTTGACTTTTCTCTGGGGAATAAAAACAGAAAGCTTGTAAAAGTCTGGTATTTACTTTGTCAGTGATGCAGGTCTGGCCGCCACATGGGATATATTTCTCTTGGCTTCTTTCGCCATCTAGTGGTCACAGGAAACTTTGACGTTAGAATTAGTATGGAGTGAATCTGGGATTGTTGCCCCCAAGCGGCCGACAGACTGTCCTCTGTGTCTTTGTAAACGACCATCTCTCTGTCTCTCTCTTTTCTTTTAGCATTGTGTTATTGTGCTCTGGTTTAGAGAATAGCAAAATCAGAACAGTTTCATTATCATGATTTTTTCCCCGAACATTTATGACATTACAATGCAAAAAAATATGAAACAAATTCATCACCATCAATCATCCTTGGCTGCAGTCAAACAAGCTCCATCACTCTTAATATATATAGTATATAGTGCACCTCCAACCTTTCTATTATTATATGTTTTCAAATGCTCCAGCTACCCATCTCACAGGCCCACCTTCGGACTGATGGCACTCCCTTTCACTTACAAACTGCCTAGAAGAATCTGCCTTGCTCTCATAATACTAGACTGAATCCAACTTCTTTTCTTTTCATTTTTTTCTTTGTTTTATTTTTGTTCCTGCCTGCTAATGTAGCAATCAGAATTATTGTCTGACAAACAGATTTACTTTCTCAAGTGGACCACTTGCTATAATGAATGCATGGATGGTCTCCTTCATAGTCATTTTTTATCAGAACTTTATTAGGATTTTATGAGTTATTACAATCACAACGGGCAAGACTGAGTGATTGAAAGGAAAAATAGTATAGAAAGAGAAGTTGGGGAGAAAGTTCACAGAAGGACAGGGAGAGAAAAATAGTAAAGAGGAGGGAGAGAGAGAGAGAACATCTGCTTCAACACCTGCTGAAGGAAGAAGCAGAAACAAAACAACAAAAACACAGCAGGGAAACCATGTTAACAAGCAACATATGTTTAAGTAACAGCAAACAATAAATGTTACCGAACAGCACACAGTACTACTAACAGAAGATGTGTTCATAGGCAGCAGTCGACCAAGATAGTGTGTGTCTGAGTACCTGTTTGTACACCTTTGTGCACACCTGTGAGTGTCAATGCGCTTGTGTTCAAGGTTTCTTCATTTAAGTGTCTGATTGTGTGTGGGGGGGAACCAGGGCCACAGACATTCAGAGGCAAGAGCCCCAGGAGGACCACCACAGTGACAATTGTGGACCCCAACCAGAGAAGATGAGAGGAGAGCCCCTGGAGAGGGGTCACCCAGCAGCCACAGTGTAGAAGCCCAAGGGGGCCGTGGTGACTGGCCCGCAGGCTTACCACACAGCTGGCTGCGCCAGAGCAGACCGAGCTCCGGGCCCAGGGACCCAAGACCTGTGGCAACCTCCCAGCATGTGACCGACAGAGTCAGGAGGGCCAGGCTCCACCGAGCAGCTGCCGGAGTGAGCCAGTACACACCTGAGAACTCAGCCCCAGACACTGAGTACCACCAATGCACTGGCGGGTGGGTGGGGGTGGGGGTCTGAGATGTTCTGAGAGAGGCGGAGGTGGAGACCTGACCTGACACATAGACACAGATACAAACATGCATTCTCACCCTCACGCTCACACTTTCCGAACATGAAGACACACTCACGCTCCCCATACACACACTATACTCCCTGGTGCCGGCACCTACACCCCCAGAGGGGCAATCAACCTCCAGACTCCAGACAAGATGGTCCGCTTTCCTCTAGGATGGAGACAACAGACAGCCTTTGTCCACGCAACAGCAGAGCAGCCCACCAGCCTGCATGGGTTTGCCATCACCTGTCCAGTTTGACTCGTCTCCCAAAATCAGAATTCCCTCACCTTATCACATGACCATAAACATGAATTCAATTTCTTTGTTTAAACTTGCGTCTCCAACAGTTTGGAGTAGGCCTTGGCGCAAGTCTCAAGAGTCTGGAGGGAGTCCAATAAAACAGATGCGTAATCTGAAACTGAATAACACATGTCCTGACAAAACACGTTTTACCTTAATGTGACATGACAAACTGCTTTGCATAGGTCTTCATTTACCCCTAACTACTTTTGCTAAGAAAATGGGAAGGTGATGCTGTCATATATTGAAACAA